AAAACACACACCTGTTTTAGTTATTAAGTCCAGTAACTCAAAAAGTTTTAATCTGATTTTCACCAAAAAGTATACAGATCGTTTGACCATCATAAGAAACAACTATGTTAAGTTTCATGAAATTTGGATAAGTCGTTCTCAAGTTATGGTGCGACATGTTTACGCCAGACGGGCGTATAAAACCAGGAGAAAAAAGACACTATATATTCTAATGCTTGGAGTGCAAGATTCCAATAAAAAAAACCTATACCCACAAACCACCGATCTCAATACATGTATAAGCAGCTAAAATACGGCAAGCTTTTTAGAAAAGCTATTACTTGTACTAGTATATCATGTCAGTCAAGCGAAACCGGGTGTGAGGTATTGGAATCTGAGAGAATGGCTATTGTTTCAAATACACTATACTCATATACTACCTCAAACAAAAACAACTTACATGACTTTAAGAAGAGAATATTTCTGCATGCATATGCCTTGCTTTTAAATTTCAATTATGCGCTGCTGTTATTCATAAAAACTATACTCAAATGGGCATTATACGCATGAACGTGTAAATAATTTATTTGATTGGCTATATTGGTCTGAAATTTGAATATGAATTACAAGGCAAAATTGTATTTTGTTTTCAAATTTTAAAACCAACAAATAAACGGGACAAGAAACTGGGGCTAAGGAAACGGTTTTAATGCAAAAACCGTAAAGCTTATCTGGGACATACTATTTTATTCTTTTCCACAAATTATGCACATTTAGGGAGAAAATAGAGATGTGCATGCAACGGATGTTTTTATTTACTCATAATAGCATTTTTGCTGCAGATTATATCAATTATTAGCCGAAAGCTTCATATGCGGTATCGGGTTTGCCTATTATTGAAGTCCGCATAAGTGACCTATATATGGCTAGTTGTCTCGTTGAAATCACGAGTGCACACCACGTCTTCTTATTTTGTATGACATTAAAACACAAAGTTGAAAATTCTAAAATATGTTGTAAAGACATTTAGTTTTAGTAGTTGAAAACTACAGGTATAAGAAGGTCTTGATGCGGGGTTCTTTATTTTTGTAATTTTTTGGCCATTTTTCTCTATTGTTTATTTTTATTTGGTAATTTTTCTCTATAACTTATTGTTTGGCCCATTTTCTGCAGTATTGACCCATTATTCTTCATTATGTAAACCCGAACCAGACCCTCGTATATATGTTTAGACCTTAAGATGACGTTTATTTTTAACAAGTTGTTTGGTTGATGTCTCATCATAGTAGTATACTCCACATACCCTTTTATTATCATATTTATAGTTTTTGTGTATTATATTATAAGGTGTTTCACTTCGATCTTTGATGAAGTTGTAACAGTAACACTGTACATGCTGTATGCACAAAGGATGTCAAAAAGTTTTCTTCTTTGTACCATCATAAGAAGAAAATCACGCATTCTCATCCTTCCTCCTGAGGCGATTTTTTTAAGATAATTTTTTTGGGGGGTATTTTCTTTATTTTGCTATAGATCGAGACTCAATAATGGCACTGATTCTGCCCTAAAAAAATGGGAGACATGACCATCTACGGACTATTGGATCATAGCTATAACCGACTTCGTTTTAAGCTCATCTGGCCCAAAAGGGCCAAGTGACAGAGCTTCTCTCATCACTTGGCGTCCGTCGTCCGTCGTCGTCGTTCGTCGTCGTCTGTTAACTTTTACAAACATCTTCTTCTCTGAAACTACTGGGCCAATTTTAACCTAACTTGGCCACAATCATCATTAGGGGTATCTAGTTTACAAAATGTGTCCGACGACCCCGCCTGCCAACCAACATTGCCGCCATGGCTAGAAATAGAACATAGGGGTAAAATGCAGTTTTTGGCTTATATCTCTGAAACTAAAGCATTTAGAGTAAATATGACAGGGGTTAAAATGTTCATCAGGTTTAGATCTATCTGCCCTGCAATGTTCAGACCAATCCGACATCCCGTTGTTGGGTTGCTATCACTGAGTAATCTTTTACAAAAATATTCTCTGAAACTACATAGACAAATTCAACCAAACTTGGCCACAATCATCATAAAAGTAACTAGTTTAACAAATGTGTCCGATGAACCCGCCTACCAACCAACATGGCCGACATGGCCAAAAATAGAACATAGGGATAAATGCAGTTTTTGGCTTATATCTCTGAAACTTAAGCATTAAGAGCAAATCTGACCATCAGTAAAAATATTTATCAGGTTAAGATCTATCTGTCTTGAAATTTTCAGACAAATCAGACAACCAGGTGTTGAGTTGCTGCCCCTGAATTGGTAATTTTAAGGACATTTTGCAGTTTTTGGTTATTATCTTGAATATTATTATAGATATAGATAAACTGTAAACGGCAATAATGTTCAGCAAGGTAAGATCTATAAATAAGTCAACATGACCAAAATTGTCAATTGACCCCTTAAGAAGTTATTGCCCTTTAAATCAATTTTTAACAATTTTTCGTACATTTTTGTAATATTTTACAAAAATCTTCTCTGAAACTACTGTGATAAATTTAACCAAACTTGGCCACATATATCATTAGGGTATCTAGTTTAAAAAATGTGTCCGATGACCCACCTGCCAACCAACATGGCTGACATAGCTAAAAAAAGAACATATGGGTAAGATGCAGTTTTTGGCTTATATCTCGGAAACTAAAGCAAAAATATAATGGTTGCATTATTTCATGCATCAATTGTAAACAAAAATATCAGGTGAGCGACACAGGCTTCTTGAAGCCTCTAGTTATAAAATGTGACTTGAGGCTCCACATGGTGACCTCTATCAACACTGGTAGTCACTGGTTTTCTACTTTTAATTAGTGTTTGTCCGCCTGCAACGAAAGTCACTTAAAAATGTATAAAGCTTTATATATCAGAAAGGAGAATACATAGATGCTTTATACCAGGTAAATGATGCGTTTTCGTGGTTTTGTCTATTTATTAGATACTATAAGCAGTAGATCTACGATATTTGGTGTATGGAATTATCGTTAGGTGTACATGTCTATCTGGCAAGGTTCACCTGACCTTGGCATGATTTTCAGGGTTCCCATAAGCAATAGGTTAACTATTATTTGTTTCTGGTATGATTGTTAGATGTACATGTCACCCCGCCACATTCTGTATGTATGTGCCTGTCCCAAGTCAGGAGCCTGTAATTCAGTGGTTGTCGTTTGTTTATGTGTTACATATTTGTTTTTCGTTCATTTTTTGTACTTAAATTAGGCCGTTAGTTTTCTCGTTTGAATTGTTTTACATTGTCATTTCGGGGCCTTTTATAGCTGACTGTGCGGTATGGGCTTTGCTCATTGTTGAAGGCCGTACGGTAACCTATAGTTGTTAATTTCTGTGTCATTTGGTCTCTTGTGGAGAGTTGTCTCATTGGCAATCATACCACATCTTCTTTTTTATATGTCAGTGGTTATCATTTGTTTCTGTATCTCGTGTCACTCTTTTGTTTGTTGTTTTGTGTATAATTCAGGTTGTTTGGGATTCTCTTTTGAATTAATTTACAATTTCACTGAGGTGACTGACATCTAGATGTATATTTCCTATGTGTCAAAAGTGCATGTACCGTGACCTATTATAGTTGTTAATTTCTGTGTCATTTGGTCTCTCGTGGAGAGATGTCTCATTGGCAATCATACCACATCTTCTTTTTTATACATATGATATTAGTCGCCATTTGTCAGTTGCCTTGTATATATGTAGCTAGCTATGGGGTATATGTTTTGCTCATTGACGAAGGCCCTACGGTGACCCATATTTGCTAACATCTACCTCCTTTGGTTTCTGGTGGTTAGTTGGCTCATTGGCAATCATACCCACATCTCCTTATTCTATATTAAACAAGACTACACTATTATTAAATGAATGTTTATATTTGGTTGTCTGGCTTTTGGTAAAAAAAAAGGCTGCTCTGATCAATGTTGATATAAATAAATTGATACTTTGAAGTATTCTTTAATATGCTTGACAATTTGAAAATACATGTTCGGCTATAAACAGTGATAATGACAATTTTAGATATATAAATTTGACTTCAGGCATGGTAAGCAGTCATTTGACAGTAAACAATTGCAATACATCCATTAAATTCAGATGTGATACACTATTAATATTTCCGGAAATTATGAACTTTTGTTATTCCAAATGTCAAAAATGAATAATTATCCAAGGTATTCACAGCCATCCAGTAATGTAATATTTCTAACAATTATTAGTTTGTGTGATTTGTTCAATGACCAATTTGATTCAGGTCCAGTTAAATCCAAACATCACAACATGGCACAATGCTGTTATAATGTTATATAAATTTTCCCAAAAATAAACAATAAATAATTAACACATAATTATGAATTCATCCATTCTTTCACAAATTTGAAATATGGAAGTGACTGACATCTACATGTATATTTCCTATGCATCAAAAGTTCACATACACATGTATTATATTTGTTTGTAGCTGGCTTCATTTTCTGGCTGGGATTCTTGCTCACAGCAATTATAATTCTACAAAACAAAATATATATTGATACTGAACTTGCGACGTACAAGTATTGTGTAGTATTGTAAATAATCTAATATCATACATATGTCGATACGAAAGACAACATTATTTATTTATTTTAAGACAACTGTGAAAACCTAGCGGTATACACTCGTTTTTACCCTACTGTACAATTATTGTATCAAAATAATGTGAACTACCATTTATGGTAATATGACGTTGGTTGATATCTGCGTGTAATGTAACATGGTCTGCTTACTGTTCTTTTCCCTCAGACTCTCAACAGACGAACTACATCTGTGAGAGCTGATACTGGGTCTTTACATGTTGGGGGAAACTAGCTTAGAACAATGCCTTTGATGGTGGATGGCATTGCTGCCGATGTAAAGGCAGGCCGGGCGTTGTTGCCGATGTAGAGGCAGGCCGGGAACAACAACAGGAAGGAAAACCAAACTAGAATATCAAGAAACTCGCTATTAATTTAATAAAGAAAACATTGAAAGTACAATATAATTTAAAAGTACACATTTTGAAGTCAAAATAAGTTGAAAACAATGATAAAAATACTACAAAAAATTCAAGTTAAATACCAAATAATAACAATGATAATTACTGATAAAATAAACCTCTGAATTAAAATATTAGTTACTTATAAACTTTATTTATTTTTTCAAAATAAAATTAAAAGAAAAATAATTTTAAATCTAAATTATTTTCAAAACCAAGAGACTCACCTAGAATATCAAGAAACTCGCTATTAATTGTATAGCGGCTTGATCAGTTTATATACTAAGTTTTGAATGTTTTAGTAACCCTTAACTGACTATAACAAACAAAAGAATTGATGATTTATGAGTTATCAATAAAATTTAGAATGGTCAAATATAGTTATGGTCTAAGATTAGGTCGAAATTACACGTCACATAAAACTGGTTTTTCTTTCATCTCTTCAATTTCTTATTCTAAAATTGCCAATTTATGTTTCGAATATATTTATTACCATTTCCCTAACTATAATATAAAACAATTACAACGTAAATCCATATAACATAGTATAAAATAACATTATAAATATTAATCCGGATCTTAATCAAAAGTAATTATGGAACTAGATTGTGCTTTATGGCTTAACACAAATAAAGCTGCTGATGTGAGTTGACCGTTGTCTGAACTTTTAAGATGTTTTATTAACTTTGCTGGACATATAATCGAAGGTCCATTTGGCCACAGCTGAAGTTTTATTGCACAGATACGTTCAATAGTTTGTTAAAGTATTTATTTGACATGTTTGAAATATCCTACGCTTTGAAAATGTATAGAACAGTTAAACAATAATTTTGTATAAAATAGTTTACAGAGTAGAACTTACATACATTAACTAATAAACTATATGAAATAAAATAAACTGCATTTTTCTATTACAATAATATAAAACGTGATAAACATAAAATCGAAGGAATAATTGTAACGTCATCTATATCCAAAATTTATGTCAAATATCTGTCACAATATATCACTCTCCTTAGAAATTTTGGACTCCAAAATTAAATAAATTAAAAAAAAAATATTTTAAAGAAATCGCATACAATGTTATGTTTACTATATTAATCTGAAAATGGATTTATAACTTTTAATTATTAACGTAAATAAATAATTAATATCCATATTAAACCTCAAAACAATATAAAAGACAAGCAATTGAGAAGATTGCGATGCAAAAAAAAAAAAAGTATTATAGTATTTTGTTGTTGATTTTAAAGTAAGCGATAAAAAAACTTGAACTAATTTTTTTTTTTTTTTTAAATATTTTTTCTCTTTTTTTTTCTTTTTTTTCTTTTCATTTTTGAGACTGCATGTTAATCATACTGTTTAATTGGTGGTTTTATTGTAATTCTTTATAAATCAATTGATGTCTATGATGTTACAATATTTTGGTATTAATTTTAAATCTTGTTCTTGAAAGTTTGTTACCCGCATGCTTACAATTGAACGTTTATTTTTACAGTTAATGAAATTTAATTAAAAATATATGCAAAGTGTTTTAAACAAAATGTTGCAAAAATATATGAAATATGAAAAGACTAGAATAAAACTTTAACAGAATTTGAATTGCTTACTTCAGTCTCTAAGTTACTGTTTAATCGTTTTTATGGCGTTCCTGCTTCTGAGTTTACCCATTATATTAAATATTTGTGGCGTCCCTGCTCTTGAGGTAGCCCTTTATGTTAAGTATTTGTGGCGTCCCTGCTCCTGAGGTAGCCCTTTATTTAGTATTAGTGTGGCGTCCCTGCTATTTAGGTAGCCTATGCAATATGCTTGCCTGTATATATATATATATTAAATTATTATTACTTTGTACCGGTATTAGATTATCTAACAGTAAACCGCAACAAGAATTTGTCTAACTTGTTCCTAATAGGTAACTAACAAACAAGGAGATTTACTTTATGTAACCCTAAATGAAAGTTGAACCTAATCTTAAAGATGACTGATTGCAAATGATAATATTGACAAGCGTTTGAAATACAAACATAGTTCTAATTAACATCATTCTGAAAAGTTATTCAATGGATGATTTAAATGAATAAAATTTTACAACATTTTATCAAAATAATTTTATAACTTATTTTAACAGTGTTTTAGTTAACTTTTGCTTAAAAATTGACAGACATGAAACGCAATACGATTTGTGAAATGAAAATGAACATTTTGTTTCATAGCTGAAAATTTAAAATTTAAATTTTGATCTTAAAAATAGATTTTAAATAAGCATTTGATATACTCACAGTTTCATGAAAATATATGTTTACAATAAAATACACAACAATATAACTTTAAAGTTCTTAATATCACTGAAGTTGATAATAGTTCTTGGTTTTTTGAAAATAATGCATTATAATGTTCTTTGATTCTGATTTTCTTTCTATAGTTGATATCGTTGTACAATTGTGTATTCTAATTAAGTCACAAATAAATCATTAACTGGAAACAGATATAAAATTGAATAGTCCGAAAGGTACATAAATAATGTTTAACTGTAAATATTCCGGTTCGAATTGTCTAAACACTGGCGTGCTGTAATGTCTGGATATCCATGTTTGGTGTTGGTGTCAGCTCTTAAAGGTTGTCCAAAATTTATTAACGGGCCTCCACCAATTATTGTATCAAAATAATGTGAACTACCATTTATGGTAATATGACGTTGGTTGATATCTGCGTGTAATGTAACATGGTCTGCTTACTGTTCTTTTCCCTCAGACTCTCAACAGACGAACTACATCTGTGAGAGCTGATACTGGGTCTTTACATGTTGGGGGAAACTAGCTTAGAACAATGCCTTTGATGGTGGATGGCATTGCTGCCGATGTAAAGGCAGGCCGGGCGTTGTTGCCGATGTAGAGGCAGGCCGGGAACAACAACAGGAAGGAAAACCAAACTAGAATATCAAGAAACTCGCTATTAATTTAATAAAGAAAACATTGAAAGTACAATATAATTTAAAAGTACACATTTTGAAGTCAAAATAAGTTGAAAACAATGATAAAAATACTACAAAAAATTCAAGTTAAATACCAAATAATAACAATGATAATTACTGATAAAATAAACCTCTGAATTAAAATATTAGTTACTTATAAACTTTATTTATTTTTTCAAAATAAAATTAAAAGAAAAATAATTTTAAATCTAAATTATTTTCAAAACCAAGAGACTCACCTAGAATATCAAGAAACTCGCTATTAATTGTATAGCGGCTTGATCAGTTTATATACTAAGTTTTGAATGTTTTAGTAACCCTTAACTGACTATAACAAACAAAAGAATTGATGATTTATGAGTTATCAATAAAATTTAGAATGGTCAAATATAGTTATGGTCTAAGATTAGGTCGAAATTACACGTCACATAAAACTGGTTTTTCTTTCATCTCTTCAATTTCTTATTCTAAAATTGCCAATTTATGTTTCGAATATATTTATTACCATTTCCCTAACTATAATATAAAACAATTACAACGTAAATCCATATAACATAGTATAAAATAACATTATAAATATTAATCCGGATCTTAATCAAAAGTAATTATGGAACTAGATTGTGCTTTATGGCTTAACACAAATAAAGCTGCTGATGTGAGTTGACCGTTGTCTGAACTTTTAAGATGTTTTATTAACTTTGCTGGACATATAATCGAAGGTCCATTTGGCCACAGCTGAAGTTTTATTGCACAGATACGTTCAATAGTTTGTTAAAGTATTTATTTGACATGTTTGAAATATCCTACGCTTTGAAAATGTATAGAACAGTTAAACAATAATTTTGTATAAAATAGTTTACAGAGTAGAACTTACATACATTAACTAATAAACTATATGAAATAAAATAAACTGCATTTTTCTATTACAATAATATAAAACGTGATAAACATAAAATCGAAGGAATAATTGTAACGTCATCTATATCCAAAATTTATGTCAAATATCTGTCACAATACAATCCCCACTTCAGATGTTGGTTCACTCATAGAATTATAATTTCATATATGTTACACATGTAATATACCTAGAAGAAAGTCTCAATTACATTAGAACACTCCCAATCATAATTTGCTTGATAACAAGATTAAAACATAGATTGTTTAGTTGTATTTGATTTTAGCACCACTGATGAGAAATACATGTTCACAATAAAACAATATTGTAAATTATCTACTTTAATATGTTGTAAAGTATATGAAAAAAATAATGAAAAGATATAAAACTCATAAAGGAGTAGATTCACTAACCCATCATTTTGGCCCTTAATATTTTTCAAACTGAAAGTTTTGTGAAAACTTGATGAAAACTGAAAACATAATTATTATGTCAAAATGTGGAATTGTTTCAGCAAGAGAAGATTTTTACCAGTTGCGTCGACGTCATAAGTGATGTTTTTTGTGATATCATAAATGTAAGTGACTTTCATTTAAACCAGATTTTTAACATAATTAATATTTATGACAGTTTTTTGGCAAAATTGACAGTTGCGCAACCCCTCGCCCACCAATATTATACTAAAAGTATTCTTTACTTTCAACCATAATTTTAATGGGCAAGGACTTGTGTCACATATGAAATCATGAAAATAAGGGGATAAAGGTGGCAATTTCAAGAACACATGAACTAAAATGAAATCGGTTCCTATTTCAGTCTTATATATTTATAATATATGAAGCAGACATTTTTATTATACTTTCAAAAATAATACATTGAGCAATACATTCACAATAGATTTACCCAAACAACTAAAGTTTAAAAAAATCACATTTACATGGCCTTTAATTGGGGTTACTTGCTCTACTTTTTTTATATACCAAACACTGATGAAGGATAGGAAGAATAACTCTCTGCTTTCAAAGCATAGTTTTCTGTAAGAAAAAAATAAAACGCTGTAAAAACATGATAAAATTAAACATCTAAAAGTTGAGGAAAACTACGGAAGCCGATAAGGGCCATTAAAAAAAAAAATTTTATGTCGTAATTACGACATAACATGTCGTAATAACGACATCACTATGTCGTAATTTCGACATAACATGTCGTTAAAACGACATAACATGTCGTTTAAACGACATCGCTATGTCGTAATTTCGACATAACATGTCGTTATAACGACATCGATATGTCGTAATTTCGACATAACATGTCGTTATAACGACATCGATATGTCGTAATTTCGACATAACAAGTCGTAATTACGACATCACTATAGCTATGTCGTAATTTCGACATAGCATGTCGTTATAACGACATCGCTATGTCGTAATTTCGACATAACATGTCGTTATAACGACTTCGATATGTCGTTATTTCGACATAACAAGTCGTAATTACGACATCACTATAACTATGTCGTAATTACGACATAGCTATGTCGTAAAAACGACATCGCTATATATATAAAAGAATATGGATTATGATTGCCAAGAGACTAAATGACACAGAAATAAGCAACTATAGGTCATCATAATGCCCTCAATAATGAGAAAAGCCCCCGCATAGTCAGCTATGAAAGAGGGACGAAAGATACCAGAGGGAGAGTCCCCGAAATGACAGCTGTTTAACAATTTAATTCAAACGAGTGAAAATAACGGTTTTAATAATGTACAAACAAAGACCGAAACACGAATATGTAACACAGCAACAAATGACAACCCCTGAATTACAGACTCCTGACCGCTATCTGATAATAACGACAACCTTATAGTTTAACTTTTCACTTTTTGAAGCGATAGGAATTTCAAAATGGTCGCCAGTAAAGGCAAAGTTTGTATCGTAAACAAATTCATCTTTTTTTTTTTTAGAATATTGAACACTTTATGCAATCAAGCTTAATTAAAGTTATTCACTAGCACCTCAGACTTGCACATACTAGAACTTTATTTATAATCAAGTCAAATGAGACCCAGTTGAATAGGGGAGCAATTCAAGCTCCCTGGATCCTCTAATTATGTTTGGCATTGCAGGTTCTGAATAAGATGAATTTTAAGCTTTTCCCAATAAAGACTATGTTAAACTTTGGACTCATAGTGCTCAGACCCACGGATCTCTGTACCTTCATTTGTACACACTTGAATCTTAATGAACTACTGAGGCTTGAAGCAAATTATAACTGTATTGCTATTGTTGGTTCTTAATGAGATTCTTCAAGCGTCCTCCCCATTGAAGCCCTATTAAAACTTTGTACCCCAAGTTCTTTTAACCACTGTTCCCCAGGACAACAATTCCTTCAAACTTAGAGGGAGGTTTGGGATCCCGCTAACATGTTTAACCCCGCCACATTCTTAATGTATGTGTCTGTCCCAAGTCTTTAATTTACATATTTGTTTTTCGTTTATTTTTGTACATAGAATAGGCCGCTAGTTTTTCTCGTTTGAATTGTATTACATTTGTCATTTCGGGGCCTTTTATAGCTGACTATGCGGTATGGGCTGTGATCATTGTTGAAGGCCGTACGGTGACCTATAATTGTTAATTTCTGTGTCATTTGGTTTCTTGTTGAGAGTTGCGTTTTTGAACAAACCAGCGTATCCCAAAGCCTTGATAACCTCTGTAGGCCCCAAATAAGACGAAAAAACATCAAAATTGGAGAGAAAACAGAAAATAAATGGTTTCTAACCTCAGGGATATTAACCCTTGGCATGCTGAATTGTTATCAGAAATTGTCTAAATTTCGAGTATTTGTAAAAATATGCAAATGATATGCAAATGAGCTGTACCCTGATGCTGATGCATACTGATTGCATTAAATCTAAGATAGCCAAGGGTTAATATCCCTTAGGTTAGAAACAATTTTTTTCAGTTTTCTCTCCAATTTTGATGTTTTTTTTCGTCTTATTTGGGGCCTACAGAGGTTATCAAGGCCTTGGGATACGCTGGTTTGTTCAAAAACGCAACTCTCAACAAGAAACCAAATGACACAGAAATTTACAATTAAAGTCACCGTACGGCCTTCAACAATGATCACATCCCATACCGCATAGTCAGCCATAAAAGGCCCCGAAATGACAAATGTAATACAATTCAAACGAGAAAAACTAGCGGCCTATTTTATGTACAAAAATAAACGAAAAACAAATATGTAAATTAAAGACTTGGGACATACACATACATCAAGAATGTGGCGGGGTTAAACATGTTAGCGGAATCCTAACCCTCCCCTTAAGTTTGTAGGAATAGTTGCCCTGGGGAACAGTGGTTAAAAGAACTTGGGGTACAAAGTTTTAATAGGGCTTCAATGGGGAGGACGCTTGAAGAATCTCATTAAGAACCAACAATAGCAATGCAGTAATAATTTGCATCAAGCCTCAGTAGTTACTGTACATTAAGATTCAAGGTACAGAGATCCGTGGGTCTGAGCACTATGAGTCCAAAGTTTAACATAGTCTTTATTGGGAAAAGCTTAAAATTCATCTTATTCAGAACCTGCAATGGAAATGCAGGACTTCATAATTTACACAAATCTGTACATGCCAAACATAATTAGAGGCTCCAAGGAGCTTGAATTGCTCCCCTATTCAACTGGGTCTCATTTGACTTGATTATAAATAAAGTTCTAGTATGTGCAAGTCTGAGGTGCTAGTGAATAACTTTAATTAAGCTTGATTGCATATAGTATTCATTATTCTAAAAAAAAAAAGATGAATTTGTTTCCGCTACAAACTTTGCCTTTACTGACAACCATTTTGAAATGCCTATCGCATCAAAAAGTGAAAAGTTAAACTATAAGGTTGCCGTTATTATCACATAGCGGTCAGGAGTCTGTAATTCAGTGGTTGTCATTTGTTTGCTGTGTTACATATTCGTTTTTCGGTCTTTGTTTGTACATTATTAAAGCCGTTATTTTCATTCGTTTGAATTAAATTATTAAACAGCTGTCATGTCGGGGACTCTCCCTCTGGTATCTTTCGTCCCTCTTTTATAGCTGACTATGCGGGGGCTTTTCTCATTTTTGAGGCCATTATGATGACCTATAGTTGTTAATTTCTGTGTCATTAAGTCTCTTGGCAATCATAATACATATTCTTTTATATATATATAGCGATGTCGTTATTACAACATAGCTATGTCGTTATTACGACATAGTGATGTCGTAATAACGATATGTTATGTCGAAATAACGACATAGCGATGTCGTTATAACGACATGTTATGTCGAAATTACGATATAGCGATGTCGTTATAACGACATGTTATGTCGAAATTACGACATGCTATGTCGTAATTACGACATAATTTTTTTTTTTGAATGGCCCTTATCGGCTTCCGTAGAAAACGACATCACCACATTTTTTTTGTACATGTATCTTTTTATCCTAATCTTTGTAAATTGTCTAAAATCTTAAAAGATTAATTATATTGAATATTTCTTTTTACATTCATGTTTTCTAAGGTGTGTAAAATATTGTAGACAAGGGTAACTATCAAAAGAAAGAAAAATAAGATTAAAGAAAAAACTGTAGTGAATGCACTATTCTTCTGTTTTAGACTTGTCAAAAAAGTCAGTGTGGAGATTTTGTGTCATGAATAAATAAACTTGTCTTAGGTAAGTTTAGGATCCTTGTCCTTAAGAGAACTTTGCCTTTGGCATGCATATGTTCAAAGTAAAATAGCTATAATACTCATTTCCTTCTCAAATTTACCAATAAACCATGATCTTCCTTCTTGCTCTACACATTTGTTACATTTTGAATTGAAGAATGATTCTTCACAGTGTTTACCCAAGTTAATAAATCAATACTGGCCTTCTAAACATTCTCAAATAATTTTTAAAAACTGCATTTTTTTAAATACCATATTAAAATTAAATTATGAGGGTTCATATTTCTTCTTTTTTAATCTATTTTAAATTTCCACAAAAATCGCCTGAAGATGTTAAAGGGGTGCGTTAACAGTTGTGAAAATCACAATAAATTTATCTACAATACCCATGACATTTTTTAAATTCATCC